GCTAACCAACTATTTTAATGTATTCCTTGGTCATGAAGTAAAGCATCTTGAAATAGCTTTAACTTTATGCAGGGAATATACTGATGAGCTGTCATATTTGAGTGGGCTGAGTTAAAGATTATGAGGCAATATTGTTGGTTAAAAAAAAAATCATATCATCAGTAAGGTTCATGTGAGCAAATTGTAACTAATTAGACACTCCCGTGTCAGTCAGCCATGATCTTCCCCAAGAAAAGCAATCTATCAGGAGAAGTAGATGTTGCAAATTGGGTTCCAAAGCTACAATGTCGATGAAGGAGTATAAGAACTAATATTAACTCATTCTCTTACTGCAGTCACTCCTATAGCCACATCTTGAGACAATAAGCAATGTTACTAGGGTCAAGAAAGATATGTTCCTTAATGGAACCTGAAGACCCCGAGAAAAAAGCATGATATACACACTTAAAAAAGGTCTCATGGCACAACGTGGCCTGATAGAACTATAAACCCAGTAACTTGAACCTTGAACCATGTTATCTAAAATGCTCAAGCTCGAGTTAAGTAGTAGGTATGAGTAACCTTATAAGCCAACATCCTCCCACATTCAGTAAATCATCATAATATCTTCCCACCTTCAATGGGGTGTAATAATCCCTCCAACCAGAGATGACTGTCCTGCTTACAACGTCGGACTAATTCAGGTGTACCATCTGAAACTAGTCAGGGCTGAAAAAAAATATTAACGAGCTCATCAAAAAGGAAATTTTGTTTTAATCCCCTAGTCAGGGCTGACAAATCACAAACAAATTTCTTCTTCTCATTTTCTTTCAAATTGGACAGAGCAAGATTCTTCTTCTCCATTGTTTCCAAAACCATAAACCTCGTTATGTCTGGGGAATATCATCCATTGTCACATGAACCTTGGACGATATCAACAAAGATGCATCCTTGATGCACCGTGAAAATCCCATTAAAGAAAGTTGATTATAGCAACTCAGTAGGAAAATGACCTTCAATTAGCGAAGCTGGGAGGTCGCGTAGCTCATCAAACAGAAGAAAATATATTTCTTAGAGGTAAAGAGAAAGCGAAGGCATAAAACACTGACATGGAAACAACATCTTCCCGCACCAGTCGAACAAACTCTACAGAAATCATAAAAATCTCTTCTTTCATAAACATCACACGACAATGAACAAAACGAACCAACTTTCGATCAAATGCATCGATAATCCCGAAAATTAAATAAAGGGAACACACTAACCTCTCCGAATCTCTCGCCGCACCGCTCCCTATCCCCGCAGAACACCCAGGAGTTACAGAGGCACGGCCCCACACTGCCGCACATGGCCTTGCAAGCGCGGCAGCAATCTCTGGACGAGTTGAACTTGTGATCGGCGCCCCACTTGACGGCGGGCCCCCAGAGCTCCAGATGCTCCTGTCCCCTGCAGCAATCCTCGTCACCTCCGCCGGCTCCTGTCCCCTCCAGCTCCAAGCCGTCGTTCGGCAGCCCCAGGAAGCGAGATTCCTGCCGGCGGAGTGCCGTCGACAGGCCGAGGTAGGCCAGCGCGCATGAGATGAGCACTGCCGCGACGAGGATCCAGAATAAGGGCCGCCCGCCCGCCTCATTTGGCCTCCTTCCCATCTGACGCAATTGAGAAACAGAGGTTGACTCTCTCTCAATCTCTGTGGAGGAGGAGAGAGTCGTTTTGATCTGAGAGAGCAAACAACGGCGGCCGGAGAGATTTGGTCGTGTTCAACGGAGTAAAGAAGCGCTCACAACGTGGCCCACAAGGATGAGGCTCCCCTGTCTCTTACAAGACAGGCACCACACATTTTCTAGTACTGTACCGGTGGGTCCCGCTGTTTTGCTGACATCATGTCGCCGGGACACTGACGTGAAATGAAGAGATGAGAGCGTAGCTGTGTCGGGCGTCTCGAGCACTACAGGTGAGCTCCACTGGGTCCATTAGAAGGAAGGTAGGTGCTTGGCCCTCATCCCACTCATCATAAATAGGGAATTTTTGTTCCTTAATTGGGATCCAATTACTGCTGAAGCCGAGACAGACTGCAATTAGATTTAGGAAACAGATCTAAAAATCAATACTGGGAGATTGAACATAAACCACAATAACAATAAAATTATATGTTTCAATTATCTAGTATCAATTACATGAACTTTTTATAATCATTGAGCATTATAAAAATTTATATGTTTAATTATGTGTAAAGCACTTAAAATTTTATTTATATTTTTATTAAGATCATTTTATATTTTTCTCTATCTCATCTCTCCAAACCAATAACATTAATTATTTTATTTCTTTTAACTATCATATCTAGAAGTCTACTAAACATATGTCATCTTAAATTATTTCTCTCTAAAGTGATCTCTAATTATTCATAAATATTTTTTTTATTTTTTTAATAATTTTATATATTCATCTAAGTAACATATATTTGTGTATATGTTGCTTCATAAGACATTGTTAATTTTATAATTATCTTATAAATACTTTTTTTAATTTTAAAAATATCCAATGATCATTCTACTCGTGCCTCTCGTCATTTTAATCATTCTACTTTTACTCTATAGATAATATCTTCATCAATCTTTTTATTTTATTAAATTTAAATAATTTATCTAAGATACCTAAAATTTTTACTTAAAAAACTTCTTATTCAACTAACTTAACAATATTCTTATGTAAATGACTAGTATTATTAAAATTATATCTCATATATATAGGGAAATTTGGGGCGACATTACATATGCAGCAGAAAAACAGCAAATAAAATCTCAAAATTTCTCACAAAAAATAAGATTTCATTGTCGTGCAAAGATTGGTACGTAAAAATTCACAAAACCGAAAAACCACGCGTACAATAGAAGTTATGTTATCTAAGAAGATCGTATATCTCTGAATTCTTACATATCTATGGGAGATGATTAAGGAGGTCAACTGTCCTCCTCTCTAGCGGTGATCCACATGGCAAGAGCTGTAACGACGCTCTTCAAATCGTTGCACAATTCTCCTCGCTGCGTGTATCACACAATCAAAAAAGGGTTACCCGTTTTTGCTGTCCATAAGCCGCAAAGAGGGGTTGTAGGTTGAGGAGAAGAGGGAGAGAGGAGAATAAGATGTGGCAGCTAAAAGGAACCTAGTCGATGGCCCTTTAGTTCTCTCCTATTTATAGAGGCTCTTTATCAACTTAACCCTAATAGATCCTACCATATTGAGTATTGGATATCCAACTATTCAAGCTCATTAGATTAGTAGGTCTCTACCTAATAATCTCTCATAACTCTTTTTGGATATCATCCATAGGATCCAATAATTTAGGAGCTTATTGGATATCCAATAAAATATGAGCTCCGACGAATATCTCATATCTAAACCTTTACTCATCGTAACACCGACCATATATATATATGACCCTTTAGGTAAAATATCGAGCTAGCCATGAGTCATACCTATTAAAACTCCTTCTAGCTCAATGAATTATTATCTCCATAATAATTCACTCGACTCATCAACTACGGATGTATTAGACGACAATGTCATAGTCCCTAGACGATATAGGGGAATCCAATCCATTAGACATATATGTCCTTAATTATCGTGCACCTATAGTCCCTTATCCATTTAATATCCCAAAGAATATATACCAAGCATGGTGTTATCAGACCCATACAGTTTCTAGTCGAGTATCGCTCTAAACGGATTCTCCCGAATAACTCTTTCTCTCTCAATCTGAATGACTCTAACTAAAGATTTGTCTAAGTAAGAAAATATAGGATATACCTATTAAGATACTGAGAGCAGATGATCCACTTTCGACACTCAATAGCTCTCGTAAGGTTGGTTGTCACTCTTGATAATCGGTTGTGCTAGATTTACAACTTCTAAACCAATAAATACAGTATCAAAAAATGTAGTCATATAGGACATCCTTGGTTTTTCAAGTCTAAGGACAAAATAGACTATTGAGATATGGAATCACTATCTAACAAGAAGGCATATCAACTATCCAACATTTCTTAAATAGATCAATTAGTGAACTCATTCACCAAAAAGCACTTGCACTATATTCATAATATCCCCACATGAGCAGCTATTAGGCTAGTCGTCTCCAACAAATGGAAGGGTATATAGTATACCAGTCTGTCCGGTTAACTCAATATCCATCACCTATAATTAGGATTATTTATGGTTTGTGTATAAATGTGATTTTAATCTCATTATCGTGATCTTATCATTCCTATTACACAAATTCATAAACATCACAATATATATATATACATATATATATATATATATACATATATAT